AGATAAAAAAAAAGACAGAATTCTAAATTCGAATACCTCGAATATTAAATACCACTTACTTAGTTAAATGAGTGAGAGAATGCGCCATCTATCGGAAATGCATTATTTGCTTATAACATTTTAATAAACTGTCCGATTTAAAAGATTTCTTTAAAATTTTTAGGGGTAATGAACACTACAAATTGGCACTTAAACTTTTACAAAATCTAGCTTTCATAGTTGTATATTGATTTACGAACAAATAATTACAATAGAAAAGTTCAAGAGAAGTAAAAAAAAAGTTAACAAAATATTCCCACTTATTTAATATTAATAGAAATTTCCGGGAAAACCCGAAGACCAACCAGAAATCGAGTTAAAATTGCCTTCTGCCATTTAATTGAACTATAAGCAATTTAAAATTTTCCACCCATTAATATTTTGACATGGTCCACTTGGAATAACGTGGGGCCATTACATTAATTCGATTTGATTTGATTCGATCCAATTCGATCATAATAGCCGTTCCGTATCAATTACGCCAGTGGGAAATTGTTCCAATTAGAGTGCATTATTGACGACGTTAATTGAGTTGGTGGATAGATACGAGGATTTTCCATTTCCCATTGCCCATTTACCATTTTCCATTTCCCTATAAGTAGGCAATGAATCTAGAAAGGTCAACGGTGGGTTTTCGCCACATTTTCTCTCTTTTCCACACTTTTTAGTACGTTATAATGCACTTTTCCCGCTTGACGCCACCGCTATCAAAGTCAATTTAAAGTGGATTTATTTTTAATGCATGTCAGCAGCGATGACGATGACCTTGGCCACGAATTGCTTTTGGTCGAAGGTTCAGGTTCATTTTCATGTTCAGGTTCAGGTGTGTGTGTAAGTGTGTGGAAATTCATTTGGTAAATATCAGCGGTGCAGCCTCTAAGCCACGACCCCTTTCCTTTTCCACCCCCCCGCAAGCCCAGAAATGTAGAGGAAAAGCCACCAGGTTGAAGGTTAATTTATTTCCTTTCCATTCAGCAGCTCTTTCATAATCCTCCGGGCCAAAAGGATGGGGCATTAAATTAAATATTCCAGCCCTAGGAAATGGCACACGAAATTAAATGCTTTTTTCGGTGTACTTTGTTTTATTTAATTAATCTTAGCCAAAGGCTTTAGAAATTATCATAATGGTGAAATCATAAAACAAAAAAGAATGTAAAATCAGCAAAGAAACTACTGGGGATTTTAAATCTCCAATGTAGTGTGCCTAATAGTATGCTGTAAATCAGACTTCCTAATTTGTTGAAAAGGTTTTGCATATTTTTGGGCACTTCTAAAGGTTACTTCTCTCTAAATTATCTAAATTACTCACGAAACTCGATTTTTGAATCCCTAAAAATCTCTACATTCAAATATTTGTAAAATAAATTAAATAAAATGGCTCTACAGCCCAATTCTCCAATTAAAGATGTCGAAAAGTATGCTGTAAATCAAACTTATTAACTTCTAATAAATTCTTGCATACTTTTAGCACTTCCGTTTAAACCTCTAATACCATCAATTTACCAACGAAATTACGTTTTTTGAATCCCTAGAGATCAATATTTAATTATTGGTAAGAAAAGACCTTTAAATAAGGTCTTTAACCATTTCGCAACCTACGACACAAAGTCAAGATGTCGTAACCCCCGGAAATTTTAAAGCCATTGTGTTTTGGCCTGCTGTTTTTCGTTCGCCGCTCTTTCGCCGTCTTTCCCCGTTAAGAAAATTCATTGGGCAGGCATTGAAAGTGAAGTTGATATATGGCTAATGATGTTGACATGTGTTGGGGATTGGGAATGTGGAGGAAAGCCTTTGTTAACTATGCCGTACACCCATGCACACCCATACACACATGTACGCCCAGAAAACCAGGGCGTTGGGGGGCGTGGCAATCAACACATGAAGCTTATTGCTTTCGCCTTGTTTGCCGTAAATGCAAATTGGTTTTGTTGCTGTTGTTCCTTTTCCTCCCCTTCCCTTGCAATTGTTTGTTGGCGGAAAGGAAAACGAGCGAAGCGGGCAAATCAAATCAAATATGCACTCCATATAGCGAAGGTGTAATAAATAGCGCTGCAAATGAACAACTCAAATGAAATATGCAATCGCATCGATTGCGAAAAAGGGTTATTATCGCTGGGAAATTCCTGGTGCAACTAAACTCAATTGCAATGGCAATTGCCTGCAATTGAGTTGATCGAATCACAGTAACTAACTGGGCCTGCGGTTGTCACTCAGTTTTCTGCTCGAATGTGCAATTACTTTGAGTGCCGTGCAAAAAAAAAAAAAATAGGAAACAAAATAGGTAAAGTGTCAACGAAAAGGACAGACTTAAGTTGGGCAAAAAAAAAAAAAAATCCTGGGAGACGAGGCTTTGGCCTACGGTAAATTCCTACATCTCCACAGTTTTTACACTGAGCAAAAAATATTTATTTACTTTTGTTTTTCAATCTCTTAATTCCCAATTGGCTAAAACAAAACTCGTTCTTTTGATTTAAATTATTAAATATTTGTTAAACCTTTTTTTATGGCAGCTTTTAATTTATGTTAAACCGTTTTATTTTGATTTATTACAATATTTTAAATTTAATTAATACAGTTTCCAATTTAAAAAAAAAAAAAAATTAATTTTCTATTCATGTTCAATCTTATAATTCCCAATTGGTTATAGCAAAACTAATTCTTTTGATTAAAATCTCTTAAATATTTGTTGTAATTATTTTTTTTTAAAGCTAAATTTATACAATTTTACACCGCTTTATTTTTGTCTTCTAAAATTTTTAAAATTTATTTCATAATTCAATGAAATTAATTTAAGCTCTCACAAAATTTTCGGTATTTTACTCCGCTTTTCTTGCAGTGTAAATTGTTGTCATTGTCGTCCCATTTCTCAGTCAACTAAGCGAGCCAAAGGTACCCATTTGCATAAAATTGCAGTAACATCCTTTCGTCCTCCGCCTGTGTTCGAATGTGTGTGTGTGTTGCAAGCGATGTGTACGTGTGTGCGTGACTGTTGCACAAGATGTTGGTTGTTGTTGTCCCTTTTGTTGTCATGTGACAGTCATTGCAACTAAGCGAGTGCTGACCTTCAATTGTCCAACAATTTTGGTGACTTGCCGAAAAAGTGAAAAGAGTTACGCAAATCGGTGACCTAATGGGGTTAAAGCCAGCATTTCGATGGCTAAAATCGGGCATTTTTCAGTTCGTAATTGGTGACGATAATTAGCCGTAGATTTATGGCATACTTTTATGGGAATTCCACAGAGAAAATTGTAAATTGGGTTTTTTTAGGAATATAATGAAAATGTATAAGCATAAATTATACTCCTATGCTTTTAATTATATTCAAATATTTAAATTTTCCCGTTTAATGGAATGGACAGATTAAAGCACACGTTTACTGACCAGCAATGGTTTTTCCTTTGACCCCAAGCTTCCTGTTTAAATGCATTTCCGCTAATGAAATCAAATTGCAAGTGATTGGCTTTTCGCGGGAAATATGAAAAAAAAACAAAGCGGAAAGGGAAAAGGCAAAAGGACTGCTCAGAAATCTCCTGAAAAATCGCATTTAATTCCTGCCTTTCGCTCCACCCCCCTATTTTTCATTGCCGTTGCTGCTTCAATCCAAATCGAAGGAAAGCCCAAACGGAAACGGTGGAAATGGCAAAGGGGGGAATAGGAACGGAAAACAAAGTCACGGCTGCAGTCAAAGTCGTTTCATTTAATAAAGTGCACTGGGCGGAAGTTGACCAGTGGTTTTTTAAATAATTTATAAGCGTGTCAAAAAGTATGCAACAAAATTAAATCTAAAACGTTGAAGGATTCACTCCTTCATTTTTCACTGCATACTTTTAGGCACCTTAAAATGTGATTTCAAACCCAATAAAGTTAGAAAATAAAATTAATAAAGGGGAAATAAATTAGATATTGCTTTAAAATAGTTTTTAAATGCTTAAAAAGCATAAATGCTGGTAGTTCTTCATAGGTAGCAACTTGAAATATTTTTTTTCCTGCAAAGTGCAGAGACAGGGGTGGCGAAATTGGCAAGGGGGTGGTCGGCACTGAGTCACGGTCACGGTTCACAGGTTAATTATGCAGCTTGTTAAGGCACACCAGTGAAAAAAGCCACGCTCCAAAAAGAACACAAAAAACAACGTACGGACTAACACAAAAAACAAAAAAAATGAACGCAAGTGAAAACGAAAATTTTCCCGCAAAAAAAAACAGGAGGAAGATGAAAACAAGAAAATCTCGCCAAAGGCAAAAAGGGGGGTGGAAAATTGTGGGGTCGGCGAAAAAACGAAAAACGGGGGCACTACATGTTGCGTTCGAGTTCGAAGCAAACTTTTACCATCTGGGAAACGCTCCACGAACTTTGTTAATGAGGTTTAACGAAATGATTTTCTATACTAGATACCCCTGGGTATGTGTGAAAATCGGTGCAAAGTTAATGCCATTTAATTCGGACAGCTAATAAAGGTGGAAATAATTATATGGAGGTGTTAAAATGGGTGTCTAAAAGTATGCAACAATATTTTTGTAAGACAAATGTAATATGAATTCATACAGAAAAACGACTCTCCTTTATTCACTGCATACTTTTAGACACAAATTTTAGTGATTTAAAAAATCTCAGAAGTCAGAAGTTCTGCTTGCTAATTAAAAAATATTCCTTTATTTTGTCCTTGTGTTCTATGTGCAAAACACAATATAGAGCACTTAATTAAGTGTGTGAAGTTCTGGGAAAAGCTCTATTAAATTCCTTTGGCAATATTTTGAAAGTGAATTCGGTTGCCTAATTAAAAATCCGTCTCCTCTATGCGGTGACTTTGGCTTTGTTCTGGTGGATTTTCCCCCTTTTCCACTTGTGCCATTCAATTAAGACCCCCACCCATGACCCACAAAAGTATGCAATGCATTGAGGCAAGAGTGCGAGTTTTTGTCACTCGTGTAGCAAAATTAAAAGCATAAATTCTGTTCCCTAGAAACGCGAAAAGCCAGAGAAAAATACAAAAGTAAGCCATGTCCCAGGAGAGTAATAGTGGTGCAGGAGGAGCACCAGGAGGAGGAGGCAATGGTGCACCACCACCGCAGTACATAATAACCACGCCCAGCGAAGTGGATGCGGATGAGGTGCGCTCCATGGGCGACTTGGAGCTGGGCTCCCCGCAATCCCAGCAAGCCCAGCAAATGCAGATGCAGAGCCAGAAGTTCTCGAGCTCCACCACCAAGGTGGCCTCCTCCACCACTCGCTCCTTTTCGATGAGCAGCAGCCTGCAGCAGCAGAAGCAGGAGAAGCAGGAGAACAGCCTGCAGCAATCGCAGCAGAAGATCATCTCCAGTTCGACGCGCAGCCAGAGCCTTCAGTCCAGCACGATTGTGGGCGAGGCCACCACCATTTCGAGTGGCGCCACCCAGATGCTCACAGCCGCCCAGGCGGCCACCTTGGCCCAGCAGCTGAAGGCCCAGAGCTCCACGTCGATAATCACGAGCAGCGAGCAGCGGACCAGCACGAGCACGAGCAGCAGCAGCAGCACTCGATTCGTGGCCAGTGGAGCACCCTCTAGCTCCTCCGGTGGAGGCGGTGGCGTTGGTAACTCCGGCAACAACAGCAAGACCCGCTTCCAGAGTTTCCTCCAGCAGCCGGAGGGAGCCCATGGCTTCCTTACCGCCCACCAGAAGCATGTGCGCCAGTTTGTGCGCTCCACATCGGCCCACTCGGAGGCGGCCGCCGGTGGTTCCTCCGGCAGCGGCAGGCCGGAAAAGTGCATCCGCAGCGCCTCCACGCAGATCGATGATACCACCGTTGGCGGCGGCGGAGGAGTGGTGGATTCGTCGTCGGGCAGCTTGGCGGACAGCGCCGCCACCGGCGGATCCATGCAGCTGTCGATGAGCAAAATGGGCCTCCAGCAGTCCTCCTCGATCCTCATCTCCAAGTCGGCCGAGACCATCGAGATGAAGAGCAGCTCCTCGTCGGCCGGCATGCGCACCCAGTTGACCTTGAGTGGCGGCTTTCTCGCTCCGCCCGGCAGCCGGAAGATCACCATCTTGAGCCCCATCCACGCGCCGCCCGGCCTCCACGACATGCTAAAAAGGGCCCAGGGACGCTCGCCCCTCTCGCCCAGGATCAGCTTCCCCGGCAGCGATTCGGACCTCTTCGGGTGAGTCTGGTTGCGGGGTCAAATGTTAAGCCTTGTAAAAGTTGTGGTTCTTTAAAAAGACTGAATTAGGTGGTAAATTATGTTTCTGGCACTTGAAACTAGATCTATTTCCGTATTCATGCTTAAAAAATACCAACAAATACTTAAAACGTTTGCCTGATAGTTAAAATTAGACTTATTTAAGTACGCAGCATTTATTTGATAGCCTTAAGTGATATTTTTCCATTCTGTATCTATATACCAAAAAATACTTAAAATATCAAGATTTATGTTACATAATTTTTGAAATTTATGAACAGTAAATTAACCAACTATAAGTGTGCCTGATACTTGAAATTAGATTTCTTCATGACATTTTTTGGCAGTAATATTTGACAGTACCAAAAACAATAGCAACATTTTAATTTCAAAGAATGTCTGGTTTTATTTATTTAAATACATAACATTTGATACCTTAAAGGCATTTACAAATATTTATTTTAGGTTACAAATAGAAAAATAAACTTTTTAATTTTGGATAAAATATTTGGTAAAAATAAAAGCAAGATGAAAAGTAAGGGTTGCAACCTACATTTGGTACTTCTTCATCTTACGGAATGATTCACTTCAATTATTTTGAAAACAATGACTTTGAATATCCCGAAATAAAATCTAATAAACGAAATTTCTATGAGTTGCCACCACCGCGTCCTCCAAATTCTGCGTAAAACCCCTTTTAAATTTGTCCATTGTGATGGTGATGGAGCTCGAACGGCGAGTGCCAAGGGGCTGGTCGACCCCTAACCCTCCACCCCTTTTAGCGCCCTCGATTTGCGGCCCTCGTAGCCAACCCCCCTTGCTAATGAACTTGTTTATATCCTTGTCCGTGTCCTGGACGCTGATGGCACATTGAACTCGCTGCTAATTGTTGACTTGTTGTTGCAAATTGTCTGGGGGCGAGGCTCTAAGGGGGGGAGGGGATTTTTGGGTGGCAGAGTGGGCGGTTGGGCCTTCCATCAGTCAGAGAATGTCACAAGAAAAGCCTCCCTCCCCGAAAACGTTGTCAAAATGCCAAAATTGTTTGTCATAGTCGTATAATTAAATTTAAATGTTTTTAATTTTTTTCCTACCCCCTCACACTCCCTCTCTCCCTCTCTCTTTGCCACCCTCTCTTTCTGGCAGCGACAGCAGATATATATATATATTAATAACAGCAGGCACAGAAACTGAAAAAAAATAATACGAATATAAAGAGAATAATTTTAATGAACCCCGAAAAGGAACGAAGGATGCGGCGGGGTAATTGAAACTGCCAGGCCATGAAAATTTAAAGCACAAAGGAAATTCGAAGGAAGGGGAAACTTAAACAATTATTGGAATTACGTCCATTAAATGTATTTAAATATAATTGCAGGCGTAGAAGAAGGCGCAATGCAAATAGGGCCAAGAAAAAAAGAAAAGCGAGTGTGTATTCTGAAAATAAATCGGTATGAAACATTATACGCGCTAATGGTTAAACACAAAATAACTGAAGCGTAAGGAAAACGATCTGGGGGGAGATGAGGGGATTAACCAGTTGACATTCGTCGTTGCTCAATATTTGCATATTTATATTTGAAACGCAAACATATTTCAAGCCAAATTTACCAGAGAGTTTGAGGGCAAAAAACGAGCAAAAAAAAGTTTTGAATGGTTGAATACACAATGTCACTCGTCAATTAAAACCCGTATTAAGTAATTTAAATATTTCTTTAATGGGCTTAAATACTTTAAACAATATTTTGTATATATTTAAACCTAAAAATATAATTCAAAAAGGGAAAAAAAGAGAAAATCTTCTTGAAAACAGCGTAAGCAGAAATGTTCTCATTTTAAGTTGAATGTCATTTTCATGTGAATTAATATTATATTTATCTTATTATACTTTCGGTATTTAAAAGAAGTATATTTTTAATTTACTTCCTTAATTTACTTACTTGAATTTACTCAAATTACCAGTAATATAGTGAAGTTAGTGAAGTCCCCTAAAACCCAGTAAACGTGCCTACACACACATGTCCCCATTTTCAGTTTACACAAACAAAACCAGAACTGAAATCTACGGTATAAAGTTATTTATGTGAGTTAAATCTAATAAATCGTTTGGAAAACCGGGATGAGCCTGCCATTTGGCTGTGGCTTCTTATCAGTTGGCCAACAAGTCGGTCCTCCACTTTCAGTCATAACATTAATTCCCGAATCAAAAATTCCCTTAGGAATTAACCGAAAAAGGGAAGTTTTATAGTGGAGGGGCCGAAGGAATTTTGCGTTTTGGGGGGCTTTAAAAATCCAGACAGATTCACAGGCAGGCCGCAACATTTGCATAGCTTTGGCCACAAGGCAGAGGGATCCTCAGCCACTCAGCCCCTCGACCTCTGACCCCCGACCCCTCCCCTCTCATAAATCTGGGGGAAAGCTCAAGGCTCAACTTTCGGCCGGTCTCTCTGTATGCGTGACTTATGTTTACAGTTTATTTATTATTAAAAACACACAGACAAATGGTCCGAGAAGAAATGTTTATTATTGTTGCTGTTTGCTCCAGTCAAACAGGCTAAAAAAAAAACAGAGAAGAGAGGAGAATGAAAACAACGCAGCACAAAATGTATACATTTCTCCGGGATTTCGGAAGGTGGGCAGGACGAGGAGTCCTCGGGGGTGTTCCTCATTCCCCATTCTCCTCATCTCTCAGTTATATGCCATGTCAAAGTCGGCGGTTTCGGCCTGGCAATGAATTCAAAAATTTCAACGCCCCAAGCCGGCGAGCTAATGTCTATATAAATTATACTCCAATCTTTAAGCTATCAGGGGATCGACTGGCTGACGCAGCCCGCATTTTTATCAACTTTAAACCCAAAAAAACAGAGAGGAAAAAGGAGGTATTTCGGTTTGCCATTGGGTTAAAAGGCAACTGGGGAATCGCAAAGTAAAAGATTTAAGTGGCCCATCAGATGGCCGGAACTTTAATTGAGACAAGTTTAATGTAAGGAATTACACAGCTTTTAATTAAATAAGCGATGCTCCTCAGGCGATTTAACGTTGTAAATCAATATCTAGTTTAATGGCAGGCCGGAAAATCCCTATATTAATATACTAAACACTTTGCCAATAACTTTTGGGTCCTTTTGCCATCCTGGGAGCTGGCCTCAAAATTGTTTTGAATTTCTGTCAATCAATCAGCCCGAGAAATTGTTAATTAAACTGTTCAACCTTAAACTCTTGTCGGTCAGCTTAACCCAGTTAACCCATTAGGCAAAGCACTTGGCTACACAGGGGGAAAACTAAGAAAAAGGGGTGAAATTTAAGATGGAAATAGGTCAGTCCCCAAAAAATATATAGCTACATTATAAAAACCAAAAAATATATATAACATAAATCTTTCAAATCAAATTTACTTTTTAAGTGATTTCATCACTTAAGTGGTTTTTAAAATATTTTGTAATTAGCTCAGCCATTTTTTTCCATTTTCAGATATGCTTTAGTTCTTAAACTTAATTAAAATTATAAAATAAAAATTATAAAAATCCTATTGAGTTCATTTCTCGGAAATGAAAAAAATATGGTCACACTGTGATATCCCATAATATCAAATTGTTAATTTTTGTCCGCTTTTTTATTGGATTTTGCTGTTTGTAATTTTCCTGGGTGTACTGGTCATCTGACAGTCGTTTCTCGAAGGGACTTTAAAAGTTTTCCCCTTTTGCGAAAAGTGAGAAGGATGCTGGCAGTCGAAGTCGATTTGCCGTTCCCGCGGGAGAAGCGAGGGCTAAAAGCGGTTAGAACGGACTTAGCGGGTTAAGGATGGGTGTTCGCATGCCGAAACGTGCCTTTGTTTGCATACTGTATTCGAGAACTCTTCGTCCTACCCCCGCCCTCTCTCCTTCGAGTGTTGCACACTTTAAGGCGCTAATGAAGGTATATTTGCGTAGCTAAGGAGGTGAAAACGGGGCGGCAGGATCTTCATTACTTGTGAGGATATTTGTGAAGGACTAAAAGCCCGTACGCAGCTCATTAATTTAGTGAGTTCCGATATTCTATACTTCAAATTGATGAGGCCTTAAGTTTAACGCACAAGTTTGATGAAAGAGATTTTCCCTCTTAACCTAAGTAAGTTTAAAAACTAAAATAAAAATTGATAATACATTGTTAAAGCTTTCTTTAAATAGCTTTGAAGTCTAGTATTTTTTGTTTACTAAGCAGTAGGTTGTGTGGAAATTTCTTTGACCAAATTGAGTCCTCTAGAAAATGAGCTAAAAAGGGCCTACCATAAAAACATATTAACGCTAATTAAGAGGCATTAAATCAACTATAAATCACGTCTCCCTTGCCCCAACTTTCCCGCCCTCCGTTTATTTATGACTCAACTTTGGCAGTGGAATTAAAATGCAAATGAAAATCGAGCTCAGCTAATTATTTAAACAAATAAAGTGGCATTATGTGGATATGCAGATAATTACATTTGTTAGACTTAGACTTATATTCCGTCTTTAAATGCTGACATTGCGTATATTATGCATACGACACGTGTGACATTTGCAAGGCCATCTTGTAAAGGGAAAAAGACGAAACGAAGACGAAGACGATGGCATCTCGGATGGCCATTTGAAGTATATCCCTAAGATAAAGGCAATCCGAGATGGGAAAATGCTGGGGAAGAACGAAAAACGAAATACAAAATACAAAATACGAGGCACAAAAGGTGAGGCCGCGGATGAGGAGGAATGATAATAAACACAAAACCATTAAAAAGAAAGGGACAAAGGCAAAAGAGTTGGGGAATTTAATATATATTTCACTAAAAGGGAGAAAACAGGAGGCAAAGCAAAATGGCAATTGAAATGGGCAAATGGCGGAAACTCAATGCGAAGTACTCGAAAAATGCAGGAAACTTTGGCAGCTATTTTGTATAACAAAGCTCTGGGTAATTTAAATTTAATTTTAAAAATATTTAAATAAATTATCCGATATAGTTTATTGGCGTTTGT